ATAGTGTACATAGAAGATGCAAGATTGTGTTTGAAATTAGAATTTCCTGAACATATTCTTTCACTCTGGGGGGGACACAGATAATGCATTTCTCATTGGGTATGAAATCTGATGTCAGTAGAATTATTGAAAGTCTTTGTGAAATGGTAATTTCAGGTTTGACTATTTTGACAGCAGGTGGAGCTAGTTGTAGCAATTCTATTTCTAGGCCATTTAAAAAGCAGCAAGATACATAAAACTTACATTAATGTGTTTGCGTTACAAAGCTGTAGGAATAGTAAATTATTAAATATTAGCTTTGGAAAGCAATCGTATTATTACAACAGCAGAGCCAAGCTGAATAAAAACTTCTCCATCTTTTTAGAAAAGGGGCTTGCATTTGGATGTGTTTTGTCTTGGAAGATTACATGAGGGCATGTGGAGAGGGGTGTGTTTACACAGTGTAATATGTAATCGATGCCTTTGACCCCTAGATATTGACTTGAAAAAAGAAGTTATATGGCTCTGTGAGAAAATAGCATGAAAGAACGATTATACACACAGTTATTTGTGTTTCTCTTTTTAAGTGGTAATAAACAGAATTTAAATCCACATACATTTTCTCCTAGTAAAAACCGAAGAACATTTGATTTTTATTCTATGAGATTGGGGAATAAAGACTTGAATGCTTTATAGCTCCAATACTGATGTGTCATCTGAACATGTAATTTAAAAGATAGCACCACTCATATGGTTCTGTTTTTCATGTGAATCACACATTGAACCATGGAATCGAGCTCCCCCCATCCTTTCTCTAAGTCAAATGCAATAATGAATAAAGGAGAGATATTATGCATGCATTGCCTTTCTCTCTGAATTTTGGTTTTTTTTTCACTAGGTCACTATGTATTAAAATAGAAGTTTTTCCAGTTAGAATGGCAATCATCAAGAATGCAAATAGCAGTAAATGATGGCAAGGATGCAGGGAAAAGGAACTCTCACACACTGCTGGTGGGAATGTAAATGAGTACAGCCATTATGGAAATCGGTATGGAGGTTCCTTAAAAAGCTAAAAATAGAACAGCCATATGATTCATCTATACCACTCTTTGGTACTCATCCAAAAGAATTAAAGTCAGCTTACTTGAGAGACACCTGCATACCCATGTTTATGGCAACACAATTCACAATAGCCAAGTTATGGGATCAGCCTAAATGCCCATCAGCAGATGTGTGGATAAAGAAAATATGGTGTGTATACACAATGGAGTTTTACTCAGCCATAAAGAATGAGGTTATGTCATTTGCAGGAAAACTCTAATGGATCTGGAGATTGTAATTTTGAGTAAAATAAGTCAGAAAAGTGTCACTTGTTTTCTGTCATGAGACAGCAAGAGGGGAGAAAAGTACACCAGGCAGGTTGAAGGGAGCACATTAGGGCAGAGGAAGATTAGGGGAGGGAGGAAGGAAAGGGGGGAATGTGTTAGTGAAATTTATCAAAGGATGTTTTTATGTACGTATGAATATGCCACAATGAAACCTGCCATTCTGTATAATTAATATGCACCAATAAAGACAGGAGTTCTAAAATGACTGCCAATTTTGCTGGCTATGTGAATAAAAAGTGACCTACTTTGAGGCACTAGTTTACTGAGTTATAAGATGACTTAAAACAGGCATTTTAACTTTTTGCCCCAAACTAGAAATCATCTAGAAAACATCTTCATGGTCGCTCATACTCATTCGTTCTTATTCATCACATTGCTTTTTTAGCAAATGCGTGATGAATGCCTGTGTATGAAGTCTAGACACCATGCTAAACTTGGGGCTGAAATTGTGAGCAATGCATACTGCATTCCCAGGAAGCAGACCTGTCTCCAAAGAATTACCATAGATTCTAATTAATTTGACAATTGTGTGTGAACACTGGACTGTCATTCACAGCAAAGGGACCCAGTCAAGAGGAATCAGAGAAGACTTCTAAGAGGAGGCAGCGCTTGAATTTCATGTAGAAGGAGATGTAAAAATTCACTAGGAGAAATAAAGGAGAAGGGACTTTCCAGATAGTGTGTTTACATGTGCAAAGTTACTGGGTGCTAAAAGCCTCTTTGGAGAGGTATAAAGGGTAAGTTTGTGATGTATCTCATTGAACATGCCATCATCAGTGGATAAAGTTTCCATGAGTTTCAACAACTCTGGATGCTATTTAAATAATTAGTTTTTGGAGTTTATGAAACTAAAGTTATAGATATGAACTTAAGGGAACATGCATGACCTGACTTCAGTTTTAACCTCAGCTAGCATTCTGAGGTATGTTCTCTGGTCACAGGAGTGATTAGATGGAATGGAGCAGCATCAATCTCTAAGCAGCTACTGGGGGGGAAAATGTTGCATATGCTGATTCAATGCAGTACTGTCAGCCTTCTGCATCCGCAGGTGCCAAGCTTCACTCAACCACAGATGGAAAAGATTTTTTAAAAATTGCATCTATATCAAACATATGCAGACTTTTTTCCTGCCATTATTCCCTAAACAACACGGTAACAACTATTTATACAGAGCTTCCATTGTATTAGGTATTACAAGTAATCTAGAGATGACTTAAAGTATATGGGAGGATGTACAGAGGATATATGCAAATACTCTGCCATTTTATATGAAGGACTTGAGCATCCTTGGATTGTGGTATCCTTGAGGGGTTCTGGAACCAGTCCCCGACAGATACCAAGGGATGATTATACGTAGGAATACCTGCCAGACGCTCCTCTAGGTGCCGGGGCATGTGCCTTGTTGCCTAGAGGAAAGCCAGCTGCCGCCTCCACGTTTTCCTCCTCTTTGGCTCCAAAGCACTGAGCACTTCACACATCCTAACACAGCTCCTCATCTCACCCCAAAGCCTATCTTCCCTCGTCTTTTTATCTCTTTAAATGACTTCTCAAACTACCTAGCAGTCAGTCCAGAAGCTGCAGGTTATTCTTGACATCTTCTTTCTCACCTGCCACATCCGACTCATTATCAAGTCGTGTCATTTCTATTCTAGAACATTGTGGACACCTTCTCCTTGTGCCCACCAGCACCCCACAACCACATCTCTTGCCAGTAGTCTCCTAACTGGTCTCCCTTTTTTATATTTTTGCTTCTTCCCCAATCCTTTTTCCCAAGACAATACCCTGAAAGATCTTTTGAAAATATTAATGAGATCATATCACTTCTTAATTTAAATCTTTGACTGACTTTCTACTGCAGCCTAAATAAAATCCAAATTATCTGCTGCTGCCCACAGGGCCTGTGGGAGTCCCTGCCCTGCCTCTCTCACCCACCTCATCTTGCATTACTCTCTCTTGCTCACCGTGGTCCAGGCAGGCGGCATCTTCTCATTTCCCCACCTGGCCAGCCCGCCACCTTTGCACATGTTGTTTCCACTGCTTGAATTGCTCTTCTTCTCCTCCTTTAGCTAGCTGGTATCATTTCATGATCTTAGCTTAAATGTTTCTTCCCCTTGAGAGTTTTCTCCTCGACCAGAATCTGTGCTACAAGAGGATTCCCGGGACTCTCTTGACAACCTCCTGTTTCTCCCTGGTTACTGCAATCTGCAATTATGTGTTTGCAGTTGAACCTGAATAATGGTGGTCTCCCCATTAAATAGTATTACCCTTGAAACTGGGGCCATGTCTGTTTTCTTCTCCCCTCTACTTCCAGAGCTTAATACAGTGCCTGGCACATAGTGGATCTTAAAAAGTTGTCAAAGAGGGCTAGGGGCTGGGGTTGTGGCTCAGCAGTAGAACGCTCGCCTTGCACGTGCTAGACCCTGAGTTCCATCCTCAGCACCACATACAAAAATAAACAAGTGAAATAAAGGTGTTGTGTCCAACTACAACTAAAAAATAAAATATTTTTTAAAAAGGGCTGGGGTGTAGGTCAGTGGTAAAGTATTTGCCTAGCATGTGTGAGGCACTGGGTTCGATTCTTAGCACTGCATATAAATAAATAAAGGTGCATCGACAACTAAAAAAAAATTTTAAAGTTGTAAAACAATCAGAATAATTTAAAAACATCAAGCTTGATTGATTTTTTTAAAGTTTATAAATCTTTACAAATAAGAAAAGCATAAGAAATTAAGAAAATTATTTCAACATGTTTTGAGCTATAGGAACTGTCTTAAAAATGACATATGGCACAATATTAGTTACCCCACCCAAAGGAAAAGGTTACTTGTGGTTATAGTATGATTTAGGGCTATTTTTAAAACAGAGTGATAACTTTTTTAATGGAAATCCTGCATTATAAAAATGAACTGCTCTTTTTATATATTTAGAACGCAGTTCACTAAAATGTTTAAATTCTTGGCTCTGCTTCTTAAACCTACTACAAAGATCACATTAGAATTCATTTTAATAGACATTGTAAGCACAGTATCCAATCTCATATCATCATGCTGGGCTCTTTTATTATGAGAGTCGCAGGAAGCTGAGCCCCAGGCTGCTGAACACATTGTGGGGTGTATCCACGGCTGGGGATGGTGCCAGCTCTATTGTTTATGTAATATTCTCTCCACCTTTATCTGTGGTATGCAATTGGTATTGACTTTTGAGAAACTACTTCTCTGACCTGATCTCCCAGTTGGAAAAAAACCTGCCGAAATGACATCTGGCTATGAAAAAAGGGATCAAAGAAGCATAAGGAAAGAAAAATTATGAGACATCGTTTAATGAGTAGTTTCTTGCCTGTCCTTTAGATCTTTTAGAGAAAAGAGTGTTAAACTTTTTCAAGGTCACCATTCCTTTGTCCCTTGCAATGGCACGGTGGACCCCAAGGGTATCTATCATTTTCACCGTTGATTGCCAGGGCTGGATTTACTTAGCATGTAGCAAAATGTCTCTTTGACTTTGTTTAGGAGTAAATACCATTCTCCAAAATTAAGGTCAAGTTTGATTATGATATTTATTACTGTTCACGTCTGTTTTATTTTTTCTAAAGAGGAAGACAGTCATCTTTGGCAAATTGTTTTCCCCAACTTTTAGGTGTATCGCTTGAGGAGTTTTTAAATATCATAAGGAAAAAGAAGGAAGTTCAACTATATCACAATGAGATAAGACACATCTTCACAGCTTTTGACATGCACTGTAAGTGTCTTCAGAGTGTTTGAAGTGTTTTGATAAAAAGTTTCTGCTAAGAAATTGTGAATGAGAATATGTACTCAGTAAACCAAATGTACAGTGTACTTGGAAGATTATTTTACTGTAGTCTTTAGCTATTACCTAAGGTGTTGGTGTGAATTTTTTTTCCACCGCAATCTTAAGTTCTTGGCACATTCTAAGGATGAAATAATGTTTGTGGTTATGTAATTGTGCTTGGATACTGTAATGTGTACTCACAGATTGTACCTATATTGTGCAGTTGGCAGCAAAGGGTTGGCTGTGTAGGGATATAGGTCACAGCCAGCTGGGGAGTGTGGGAGACCCTGCAGCTGTCTCCTTCAGCTCCTGCTTTGACTCACACAATTGGAAGAGTTGTCTTCCCACACTGGGCTTGGCTGAGAAGGGTGGCCACAGACCCCCCAGCCCCACATATCTCACCCAGGAGGAGAGGACTTATGGATTAAAGTGTCTCCCATGCTATTATGAGTTTCCCCACAAAACTAAAATAAAATAAAATTTGAAGACTGAATAGTTTTGACAATTCACAATGACTCAAAGCCCAATTTCATTATTGTAGTCATGTCTGCATCTGGTCCTTTCCCCTGGACTTGGAGAATCAGCAAAATGGCAGGACTGGAAGTGATGCGAGATCACTGGGACTGCGCTGAAGGGGAGAATATTGCTAGATTTGCAAATTCTTCAATTGAGACAACCTTAGATTATCTTTTTTTAAGAAAAAAAAATATTAATTTTTTTAGCTGGGCACAATATCTTTATTTTATTTATTTATTTTTTATGTGGTGCTGAGGATCGAACCCATGGCCTCACACATGCTAGGCGAGCGCTCTACCACTGAGCCACAACCCCAGCTCAACCTTAGATTATCTTACCTGTAAATTCAAATGTTAATGTACTGCTTTTCTCCCAATAACATATTAAAATAAAGTTTCACATAAATATTAAGTATGAAATAATAGTTCACAGGGTTTATAAAAGTAATTGAACATGATATATTTTGTTTTCAAATAGATCGTGGATTTTTAACTTTGGAAGATTTCCAAAGAGCCTTCAGGCTTGTGGCTCCCAAATTACCTGAAAGGACTGTTCTTGAAGTATTCAGGTAAAGCACCAAATCTTTACATCCATCCACCCTTTGATTTACCATTTGCTTCATGAGTTTTCAGTTTTTATGGAAAACTTTTACTTGTGCACATTTTTCACTTTGGGACATTTCCATGTCATAGCACCATGTTGTGATGCAGGAAGGAAGCCTGTATTTAGGTATGGGTCCATCCACAGCCTGAGGATGGCCTTAAGGTGGGTGGAGTGCTGCTCACCTGGCAGATGCTTGAAAACATCGTTGGTAGTGGCAGGAAAGGAGCAGGAAGGAAGCAGAACTCCATATATTTATGTGTCAAGCAAAATACCAAAACTTTATTTCTGTTTATCAGGGACATTAGTGGTCTCCTATGGTCTGTATTTGTCAAATGCAGATTATGCATGGTTCTTGACTTGTCTGGAAGAAAAGCTGGAAGTGCGTAGTGATGGCCTCCTCATTGATTTGCTTTCTAATCTGCTGACAGAGGTTATAGTTTACACTAACTTGGTAAAGTCAATTTAAATATTCTATTATGTAGTTCTTCAAAACTAATTCTGACTAAATGGACGAGTGGCTCAAAAGCAGTTCCTGTTAGGAAACTGCAGATTGAAGGTTATGTTAATGAGGAAAACCTGTGGATGTGAGGAGATGGCAGAACTGTCTGTGCTCCAACACCTAGCATGAGTGCTTCATCAGGCCATCACCAGGTGTATTAATAAGGGTTCAACATACAAATGAGAGACAGAAAACCCTAAATACTAGAAGCTCAAAGAGATGTAAATATATTTCTCTCACACATAAATATAGGCAACTCAAGCCTGAGTGACAACAACATAGATATGAAGGACCTGGGTCCCCCTTCTTGTTGCTCTGGCTGCCCTAATAATGCCTGGCTTCTCCTTGCTTCAAGATGGTTGCTTAAGTTGCAGCCATCAAATCTGAATTCTAGGTAGTTAGAAGGAAAGGAGGCAGGAGATCTGCCCCTTCTTCTAAGGCTATATATTGTTCCTACTTACATCCCAGGACTTACAATGTAGATTCAAGGCTGTATCTGTAAGGGAGAAAGGAGGAGGGCCTTGGAAAATGTGAGGTTTGCTCTGGAAAGTTATAGGCCAGTTCACAGGTTCTGATACTGAGGAAGAGGGAGAGAGAATGGATACTGGGAGACATCTGGCAGATATTCCCATTTGGGATGAAAGCAATTTAATGGAATCTGTCCAGAAGCCAGCCTTACTCAGTAGAAATAATGAAGCAGGTTATTTGAATAAGGATTTGCACTCATTATCATTAACAGTGACATATATGAAATGTATTGGCTGCAGTACTCACAAACAAGCTATTGAATGAGCTACTGAAGAACAAAGACATTAAAGCCAGATGCATACACAGTACCATAGGATGATATTACTTAGTTGGTTGTGTGCAAATAAGTTCTTTAAAGTATCCTAGTACCTTTTTATACACTTGTAATGAAATGGGTAATGAATACCAATATATTTCTCCCACACAGAGGTTGTTTTTAATAAGAGAGACTAAAATTTGTTACCCATTTTCCTTTTTCAGAAAGACAAGTTGTCCAAACTAGGTGACCTTGATGTGCTAAATGGTTTTAGTAGATGCTATCTTGCAGAGATTTTTTGAAAAATATACTTAAATATAGCCCTTCAAGGTAGAAGCAGTGTTTTGACAATAAGTGAGAAAATAACTGCTTCTGGAAGAAACCTGTTACAAGGAGAGCATTTTCTGAAAGTAGATGTTTGTAAATGTGATTTTATTTTTTAAAATAATGTGTCACCTATTATAACTCTTCACATCTACATGTTTGCTAATATGTAGATGGAATATCTACATATTAGATATGGAAATGGAATATCCTAACTGGCTTTAAAAAAAAACTTGCAAAATATCAATGGCTTTAGGACATAATTTTTTTTTAAATATAAGAATTCAAAAGGTTAATAAGTTTTCAAGAGCAACAAACTGATATCAGATTGATATCAGGAAATATATTAGCTAAATTTCAGTTAGCAATAACAAAATAGTAATAATTAAAAATTGAAAACCTCTAAACCTTTGCCTTATCAGAGGATAGAATTAAAAACTGAGGCTGTTAGGGCCCCGATGACTTTTTCTCATTTAGATCTACATAATTTTATGAGGTATCTTTAACACGTGTTAAAATCATGTATCAAAACAAATTGAACTTTAAATTGCTCAATCACAAAGGATTAACCAATATGTTCTGAAATAATAAATTAGCTTAAATCACATTATTCTTGTTAAATATCATTAATAATTCCTAGTGACAGCAAAAAGTTATTTGTCATTACTAAATAAAAGACATCTTTAAAATTCTTGAGAAATCTATATTTTGAGCTACACATAATGTATTAATATAGTAGCACATGTACATATAATCTATAACTACATATACTTTACAAATCTTGTACTACTTCTGAGAGTTGTGTGCTCAAGACATTTTGCAGAGATCACTATATACCAGCAAAATAAAGCATTTTAGTTGATTGAACATGCTCTATTTAAACTCTCAGTTATATTTGAAAATTATATTGCTATCATAATCCCTCAACCAGAATAAATGATGAATATAAAAAGTATTAAATGAAGTTGGGAATTCAAAAAGGAGAGAGAAATAGTTCCCCTTTGTGTAAATTAAAGCAGGCCACAGAAACAGATGTCTAATATACATATATACACTCCCCTGCCCTGTTTCAGTGATGTGTACAGTTTTCCAGAATAAGAAAATAAAAATCAGCTGCTGAGGCTATTATGATGCAAAACTTTATAATGTGTCTAAAGCTAGACTTACTTTTTGAGAAGCCAGAGTAGCTTTTGATGGAGCTCACCCCCCAGGCCCATAATTACCCAGAATAAAAGCTTGATATCTGAAAAGCACCATAAGAAAAAAAAACAAAAAGAAGAAGAAGAGTGAAAATTTTTACTAGATCAGAGTTCTCTGTGGTTTGAGTGACTAGAGAAATAAATCTTCATACCATTTGAGTCAGTGACTGCCATGTTCTCTTCAAAGAAATTGCTAAAGATCAAGATTGGTCTTTTTCAAGAGTACTTGCCCATATTGCATTTTAATTTAGTAGACCAAACCAAACCACAACAATAAAACCAATCAACCAAACAAGCAAATAAACATCAAAACAAATAACTGAAGAGAGAAACTTGGAAAATAGAGAGATTGCAAATAAATAAGCTTATGCTCCACCTCAAGGCCTTAGAAAAAGAAGTCTAAACTAATCCAAAAGCCAGCAGAAGACAGGAAATAATTAACATCAGAGTCAAAATCAATGAAATTGAGAATAAGAAAATAATACACAGGATTATGCACTGAAGAATTGGCTCTTTGAAAAGATTAATAAATTTTTAGCTAAACTAACCAAAAGAAAGAGAAAAATCAACAAGAGGTGAAAAAGGAGATATTACCACAGAACCTTCTGAAATCCAGCGGATTATCAGATCCTATTTTAAAAATTTTACTTTACTACACTGAAAAATCTAAAGACATTGACAAATTTCTAGACATATATGACCTGCTCAATGAATCAGGAAGATATAGAAAATCTAAACAGACCAATGTCAAGTAATGAAATTGAAACATCAGTTAAAAGCCTTCCAAAAAAGAAAAGCCAATGATCAGATGGATTCTCAGCTGATTTCTAGAAGATCATTAAAAAGAACTAACACTAGTCTTTCTCAAAGTATTCCATGAAATTGAAAGAGAGGGAAATTCCCAAATAAATTTTGTGAAGCCAGTATAACCCTGGTACCAAAACCAGACAAAGATGTATCAAGGAAAGAAAATTATATGCCAATATCCCTGATGAAAATCCTTAATAAAAATTAGCAAAACACATTTTAAAAAGACATCAAAAGATAATATACCATGATCAAGTGGGCTCTTCATTCCAAGGATGCAAGTTTGATTCAACATAATGTAACTCACCACTTAAACAGAATGAAGGACAAGAATTACATGATTATCTCAATAGATACAGAAAAGGCTTTTGATCAAACTCAGCACCCATTTATGTTACAAAAAAGAAGCTAGGGATGGAAGGAACTTGCTTCAACATTGTACAGGCTTTTTATGACAAACCCAAAGCCAACATCATACTGAATGGAGAAAAACTAAAAGCATTTCCTCTAAAATCAGGAACAAGACAAGGCTGTTTACTCTTTTTACCACTTCTATTCAATATAGTTCTTGGAACATTAGCCAGAGTGATCAGGCAAGAAGAGGAAATCAGAGGGATACAAATAGGAAAAGAAGAAGTCAAACTACCTCTGTTTCCCAATGACATAAACCTATCTAAAAGCCCCCAAAAATTCCACCAGAAGACTTCTAGAGTTTCTAGAGTTTATAAATGAGTTCAGCAATGTAGCAGGATACAAGATCAACACCCATAAATTAATAGCTTTCCTATACTCCAACAATAATTCATCCGAGGAATAAATCAGGAAAACCATTCCATTTGCAGTAATGCCATTTTTTTTAAAATTGAAAAACTTGGTAATTAATCTAACCAAGGAGGTAAAATAGCTCTACAATGAAAATTATAGAACACTTGAAGAAAGAAATTGAGAAGACCTTAGATGGAAAGACATCCCATGTTCTTGGCTAGGCAGAATTAATATTGTCAAAATGGCCATACTACCAAAAGCAATATGCAGGTTCAATGCAAGCAACATCAAAATACCAATAACATTCTTCACAGAATTAGAAAAAAATAATTCTTAAAGTCATTTGGAAGAATAAGAAAACCAAAAGAGTAGAAAAGTGAAACAGGAAGTATAACTGATTTGTAATTATTCTACAGAGCTATAGTAACAAAAACAGCATGGTGTTGGCATCAAAACAGACATGAAAACTAGTGGAACAGAAGACACAGAGAAAAATTCCCATACCTATAACCTTCTGATACTTGACAAAGTAACATAAATATATTTTGGAGAAAAGACAGCCTTTTAACAAATGGTGCTTGGACAAC